CTCCCTCCTCCTCCTCCTCCTCCTCCTCCTCCTCCTCCTCCTCCCTCCTCCTACTCCTCCTCCTCTTCCTCCTCCTCCTCTCCTCCTCCTCCTTCTCCTCCTTTCCCTCCCCTTCTCCTCCCTTACTCTTCCTCCTCCTCTCCTCCTCCTCCTCCTCCTCCTCGCTCCTCCTCCTCCTCCTCCTTCTGTTCCTCCTCCTCCTCCTCCTCCTTCTCCTCCTCCTTCCCACCATCATCATCATCATCATCATCATCATCATCATCATCATCAGCAGCAGCAGCAGCAGCATCAGCAGCACCAGAATCGTGATCATCAGCAGCAGCATCAGAATCATCATCATCATCATCATCATCATCATCATCATCATCATCATCATCATCGTCATCATCAGCAGCATGATCAGCAGCATCATCATCAGGATCATCATCATCATCATCATCATCATCATCATCAGCAGCAGCAGCAGCATCAGCATCATCATCATCAGCAGCAGCATCAGCAGCAGCATCAGCAGCAGCATTAGCAGCAGCATCACCATCATCAGCAGCAGCATCAGCATCAGTATCATTATCTACATCATCATCATCATCATCATCATCATCATCAGCATCATCATCATCAGCATCATCATCATCGTCATCATCATCATACTCAGCATCATCATCAGCATCACCACCACCATCACCACCATCGTCATCATCAGCAGCAGCATCATCAGCATCCTCATTCTCACCATCGTCATCATCATCAGCAGCATCATCATCATCAGCATCATCATCAGCAGCAGCATCATCCTCATCATAATCATCATCGTCAACAGCATCATCATCACTATCATCATCAGCGGCATCAGCATCAGCATCATCATCATCAGCAGCATCATCAGCAGCATCAGAAGCAGCGGCATCGTCATCACCATCATCACCATCATCATCATCATCATCATCATCATCATCATCACCATCATCATCATCATCATCATCATCATCATCATCATCATCATCATCAGCATCATCATCATCAGTATTATTAGTATCATTAGCATCGCTGCCGTCGTCATCATCGTCATCGGCACTGGTATCAGCATCGACATCATCAGCAGCAGCAGCATCAGCATCGTCATCATCATCAGCAGCATCAACATCAGCATCGTCGTCATCATTATCATCATCAGCCTCATCTGAAGCGACAACAACATCGTCGTCGTCATCGTCATCCGCATCATCATCATCATCATCATCATCATCATCATCATCATCATCATCATCATCATCATCATCATCATCAGCATCAGCATCAGCATCAGCATCATCACCAGCATGATCAGCATCGTCATCAGCATTACATGCTTAGTTTCATAATCAGCATCGTCACCAGCATCATACTCATGAAGTTCATCATCATCAGCATCACCATCACCATCATCGTCATCATCAGCGTCATCGGCATCGCCATCGCCATCATCATAATCATCATTACCGCCATCAACAGCATCGGCATCATCACCACCATCATCATCATCATCATCATCATAATCATCAGCGTCATCATCATCATCATCATCATCATCATCATCATAATGATCATCATCATCAGCATCATCATCGTCCCCATCATCATCATCATCATCATAATCGCCATCGTCCGTATCGGCATCGCCATTATCATCATCAGCATCCTCAACAACATCAGCATCATCATCGTCATCATCATCTGCATCAGCATCATCATCAGCAGCTCCAGCATCATCCGCATCATGATCAGCATCAGAACCGTCAGCATCAGCATTACCGTCACCATCATCACCATCATCATCATCATCATTATCGTCATCCTCATCATAATCATAATCATAATCTGTCGCCTCCCTCTATTCTTCTGTCGAGGGGTCCTGCTCTGCCGAGCGGGCCCCTAATCCTTCTCATCATCATCCCGCTACTCCCCGTTCTCGTTGCATCGATGGAGCCCTCCTCAACTGACAGGGGTCCTGCATCGAGGGGTGCTCTCCTCTGCCTGCCCCCATGCGGAAGATGGTGCCTCGCCTGGGCTTGCCCGAAGTTCGTGCCCTCCTCGAGCGGGCGTTGTGACCATCGCCGCGCGGGCTGCAATTGCCACCTCGCGTACCCTACTCTTGCTGGCTCGGCGCGAACGACGGCTGCCTGCCGTGAGGTGAGATCTTCCTCGATGGCGGCTCAGCGTTCGAGGGCGGCTGCAGCAAGTTCACGAGTGTTGGTTGGGCGGCCGTCGCTCTACATCCTCGGGCTGAGATCTTCGCCACGGGCGTCTCGGGTGTGCGGTGTGAGCCGCTGGTCGACATCAACGGCGGTGAACTGTCGGCCTTGATAGCGGTGCTCAGGTTCGCGCTCCCGCCAATCACCGCGGTCGTGGATAGCAACTTCGTGTCTCTCGGGCTCACCCAGCTGGGCGAGGAGCGCACGACCTCCCACGGCTATGCGTGGGCTCACATCTGGCAGGAGGTCTACCGGGTGATGAGGGAGTTCGGCGCGCTGTGCGCAGAAGGCCTCACGGTTCGGAAGGTGCCTGCTTATCTGGCGCGGAGTCGCATCGTCGAGGGCAGCATAACCTTCAGGGACTGGTACGGCAACAAGCTGGCAGACCAGGCGGCCAGGAGCGCGGCTGCGCACGGCAGGCTGGGGTCGCGTGAGCAGCAGCGGCTCCGCCACTCGCTGAAGACCGTGGAGGGCGCGCGATGTGGCTGGCGGCGGTCGGCTCGGCGCTGGGCGACCTCCGCACGACCCATCGCGCGGCCAAGCCGAATCGGCCAGTGCCCAGAGCAGCGAAGGCTAAGGCGGAGTCGGTCCCGCGGCTCCCCTGCCAGCTGCGCGGCCCAGATGAGAAGAGGTGGTGCTCGGTCTGCCGCTGCGTCGAGAGACGAGGCGAGAGCCCTGGCAGCATCGACAGTGCCGCCCTCGCCGCCAATGCCGCGTTCAAGGAGAAGAGCCTGCTGTAACACTACGTGGTCCAGCTGCTGCCGATGAAGGAGAGCGAGCTGCAGCGGGAGGTGACGCGGCTGGCCTGCCTGGCCTGCGGGGCCACAGGGACGACAAGGGCGTCCTCCTTCGCTGCACCGTGCGGTGTGCCCAGCAAGGAGGGCAAGGCTGCGTTGGCCAGGCTAGAGAAGCGACTCTCGCCTGACGCGGTCAAGATCGCCGTCGACCTGAGGCCTCTCGGCGGCGGCTGATCGGCACAGCCGCGACGGCGCCGCGGACGGCGCGGTGCTGCTGGCGGGGCTGGCGGCGGCGGAGGGGCCGCGGACGCGCGTTCCCCAAAGAGGCGCGCTCCCCCTCCTCGTCCTCCTTCTCCTCCTCCTCCTCCTCCTCCTCCTCCTCCTCCTCATCATCATCATCATCCTCATCATCATCATCATCATCATCATCATCATCATCATCATCATCATCATCATCATCATCATCATCATCATCATCATCATCATCAGCAGCATCATCAGCATCATAGTCGTCATCAGCAGTATCAGCATCAGCATCATCATCATCACCAGCATCATCATCATCAGCATCATCCGCATCCTCATCCTTATCCTCATCCACATCATCATCATCATCATCATCATCATCATCATCATCATGGTCTGCATCATCATCATCATCATCATCAGCAGCAGCAGCAGAAGCATCATCAGCATCATCATCATCATCATCAGCAGCATCAGCATCGTCATCAACATCATCAGCAGCAGCAGCATCAGCATCAGCAGCATCATCATCATCGTCATCAGCATCATCATCATCATCATCCTACTCATCATCATCAGCATCAGCATCATCATCAACATCATCATCAGCATCATCAGCATCGTCAGCATCCTCATCAGCAGCAGCATCATCGTCGACACCATCATCATCATCATCAGCCTCATCGTCATCAGCATCAGCATCATCATCCGCATCCTCCTCATCATCCTCATTCTCATCATAATCCTCATCATCATCGCCATCATCATCAGCATCATCATCATCATCAGCAGCAGCATCATCAGCAGCTTTATCATTATCATCATCATCATCATCAGCAGCAGCAGCAGCATCAGCATCAGCATCCTCATCCTGATCCTCATCATCATCATCATCATCAGCAGCAGCAGCATCATCATCATCATCATCATCATCTCATTCTCCTCCTCCTCAGCATTATCATCCTCGGCCTCCTCCTCCAACGCATCCTCTTCTTCCTCCTCATCTCCTCCTCCTCCGCCTTCTCCTCCTCCACAACTCCTCCTCATCCTCAGCATCCTCTCCCTCCTCCTCTTCCTTCTCCTCCTCCGCATCCTCCTCGTCCTCCTCAGCATCGTCATCATCAGCGTCATCATCATCATCAGCTTCAGCATCATCAGCATGATCATCAGCATCATCATCAGCATCATCATCAGCAGCAGCATCATCAACAGCCTCAGCATCAGCATCATCATCATCATCATCATCATCATCATCATCATCATCATCATCATCATCATCGTCGACATCATCAGCATCGTCATCGGCATCATCAGCATCATCAGCATCATCAGCAGCATCATCAGCATCATTCTTATGGTCAGCATCATCATCAGCATCATCATGAGCATCAGCATCAGCATCAGCATCAGCATCAGCAACAGCATCAGCAGCATCATCATCATCATCATCATCATCATCATCATCATCCTCATCATCGTCAACGTCAGCATCATCAGCATCATCAGCAGAATCATCAGCATCATCCTTATCATCAGCATCATCATCAGCATCATCATGAGCATCAGCATCAGCATCAGCATCATCATCATCATCATCATCATCATCATCATCATCATCAGCATCCTCATCCTCATCATCATCGTCAACGTCAGCATCATCAGCATCAGCATCATCATCATCGTCATCGTCAGCAGCATCATCATCAGCATCGTCAGCATCAGCATCAGCATCATCGTCATCGTCAGCAGCAGCATCATCATCAGCATCATCATCATCATCCTCAGTAGTTTCATCATCAGCAGCATCATCATCATCGTCACCATACTCATCAGCATCATCACCACCACCACCACCACCATCATCATCATCATCATCATCATCATCATCATCATCCTCATCCTCATCCTCATCCTCATCATCATCATCATCAACAGCATCATCAGCACCATCATCATCATCATCATCATCATCATCAGCATCAGCATCAGCATCAGCATCAGCATCAGCATCATCAGCATCAGCATCATTATCATGATTTTCACTAGAATCAACAGCATCATCAGCATCATCGTCATCATCAGTCGCTTCATCAGCATCATCATCATCAATATCATCACCGTCCTCATCAGCAGTTTCTTCATCATCATCAGCATCATCGTCACCATGCTCCTCAGCATCATCATCATCAACATCATCATCACCATCATCATCAGCAGCATCATCATCAGCATCATCATTATCATCAGCAGCAGTATCATCATCATCATCATCGTCATCATCATCATCATCATCATCATCATCATCATCAGCATCAGCATCAGCATCATCATCATCAACATCATCATCCGCATCATCATCATCCGCCTCTCCTTCCTACTCCTCATCCTCCTCCTCCTCCTCCTCATCATCATCATCCTCATCCTCCTCCTCCTGCTCCTCCGCCTCCTCCTGCACTTCCTCCTCCTCGTCCTCCTAATACTCATCATCAGCACCATCAACATCAGCAGCGTCATCAGCATCGTCATCATCATCATCATCATCATCATCATCATCATCATCATCATCATCATCATCATCATCATCATCATCATCATCATCGTCACCAGCATCATCAACATCATCATCAGCAGCATCATGATAATCGGCATAAGCAGCATTATCATCAGTATCCGCATCAATCATCAGCATCAACATCATGAGCGTCATCATCATCAGCATCAGCGTCGTCATCATCAGCATAATCATCGTCATCCGCATCCTCCTCCTCATCTTCATCATCCTCCTCATCATCAGCATCAGCATCATCATCATCATCATCATCCTCATCCTCCTCATCCTCCTCTTCCTCCCCCTCCTCCTCCACATCCTCCTCCTCTTCGTCGTCCTCCTCCTCCGCCTCCTCCTCCTGCTCATCCTCCTCCCCATCCTCCTCGTCTCTGTGTCATCCGTATGCTCTCAGTACTTCTCCTGCTCCTCCTCCTCCTCCTCCTCCTCCTCGTCCTCCTCCTCCATCGTCATTCCCCCTCTCCTCCTACCTCCTCATCTCTTCTCCCCCCCACTCCTCATCCTCATCCTCATCCTCATCGTCATCCTCCTCATCATCATCAACATCATCATCATCATCATCATCATCATCATCATCATCATCATCATCATCATCATCATCATCAGCATCATCGTCCCATGTCGGTACACCCCTCACACGTTTCGTGGCCCCATAGGGACCTCCACCGAAGGCCCCAGTGGCTGCGTTCGCATGCGGTTCCACCCCCAATTTCTGCACACCCCTCACACGCTTCGTGGCCTCATAGGGAGCTCCACCGAAGGCCCCAGTGGCTGCGTTCGCAAGCCCCCATTTCGGCAAACCCCTCACAGGTTTCGACGCCCCACTGGGAACTCCACCCAAGGCCCCACGGGCTGCGTTCGAATGCGGTTCCACTTCCCTTTTCGGCACACCCCGCCCACGCTTCGTGACCCAACAGGGAACTCCACCGAGAGGCCCAATGGCTGCGTTCGCATGCGGTTCCACCCCCCATGTCGGCATACCCCTCACACGTTTCGTGGCCCCACTGAGAGCTCCACCCAAAGCCCCACTGGCTGCGTTCGCACGCGGTTCCCCCCCCATTTCGGCACACCTTTTCGCACGTTTCGTGGCTCCACAGAGAGCTCCACCGAAGGCCCCACTGGCTGCGTTCGCATGCGCTTCCACCCCCCATTTCGGCAAACCCCTCACACGCTTCGTGGCCCCATAGGGCGCTCCACCGAAGGCCCCAGTGGCTGCGTTCGCATGCGGTTCCACCCCACTGCCGGCACACCCGTCACACGTTTCGTGGCCCCACAGGGAGCTCCACCGAAGGTACCACTGGCTGCGTTCGCATGCGGTCCCACACCACATTTTGGCGCACCCCTCGCACGATTCGTGGTCTGAGGCGGCACCACCGATGGCCGCAGCGGCAAGTTCCACATGTCGGTGCCGCTCCATTTCTGCACACCCCTCGCGCGTTTCGTGGCCCCATAGGGAGCTCCACCGGATGCCCCAGTGGCAGGGTTCATTTGGCGGCGCCATGCCGATTTCGGGACGCCCCTCGCGCAGATCGCACCTTACAGGGAGCTCTGGGACACGAAGCTCCGGGATCTCATAGCGTTCCTGCGCAAACCGGGGAAGCAAGCCCCCCCGGACATCCGGGCCACGTGGAACGCAATGCAGCTGAAAGCCGATGGTCGCCGGCTCCAGGAGGAGAGGTTCCAGAACGGCCGCATGATTGGGTCCTACTAGGACACCGTGGCGCGGTGGATGAACATGCGCGCTCAGCGGGACGCGGACGTCCTGAAGAAGCCCCTCTTCCTGGTGCAGGCCGCCGACAGGTCTGCACCGACGATACACGTCAAAGACGCCGCCAAGGTGATGATCTGCGCCAACCCGAAAAACACCGGTGGCATGCACGGACTGCCCCCAGTGCACGCGGGCATGCGGATCATGCTCCTGGAGGCGCTTGACCTCAAGAACGGCCTCGTCAAGGATGCCGACGGGCAGATCGCGCACATCGTCGTGGGCCCTCGGGATCGGGACGACGTCGAGAAAGCCGAGAGAGAGACGGGAAGAAGAGGATCTATCTGAAGCGTTTGCCGCTGGGGTTCTGGGTGCGCATGGAGAAGTACGCGAGCGCGCTCTTCGTGGACGACCTGAAGCGCCACGACGACAGCCTCACGGGGGACCTCGCGGGCCCGCTGGTGTTCATCGAGCCCCGCACGTCGGAGCCGTTCACCTTCCGAACCTCCCAGGGCACCCGGACGGGCTTCCCGCTCTCGCACTGCAGGGCCATCACCACGATGGCGCGCCAGGGGCGCACCATGCGAGAAGACGACGGGGCGGGGGAACCGCGCTCCGGGGACGGCCAGACCTCACGGGCGCGAGCAGTCCGCAGCCAAACCTCGGTCCTGCGGACTCTCGCCCTGGGCCGTCTGCTGCCTGGCGCACTGCTCCCTCCGCCGACGTCGCCCAAGCGTGATCCTGGACTGCAGCCGCCACGAGGTCGGGAACGGCTAAGAAGGAAGACGACGACTGGCGGGGGCGCCGCGCATCGAGTTCTTGCGGAAGCAGCTGAAGGGCTTGCGGAAGCAGCTGGAGCAGCTTGCGGCGCGCACGAAGTGGCACAGGAGGGAGGCGACGGCCCTCGCCAGGGAGCTCAGTCCAGCCTCACCGAGCTTATCCGCGAGGCCTGACCTGAGGAGCGGCCCGCCCCAGCCGCGCCTTCTCTTGGCTGTCCGACTGTTTGGCCTCGCACCGCGGACGACTCGCGCGCGTCGCTGGGACCCTCTCGGGGCGACCAGCGCGCGTCGCGCGAACTCCGCGCTGAGCTCTGCCCAGCGCCTCGCTCGCCCATCGTCGCTCCGCCCAGCGGCCAGAGCCATGCGCGCAATCAGTTAGGCAGCAAGCACTGTATGCTCCGCACAGCGGACAAGCCGCGCGCGTCGCTGGAACCCCTCTGGGGCGACCTGCGCGCGTCGCAGGGACTCCGCGCTGCGCTGCGCCCGCAGCCTTGGACTTTGGAGCGCGCGGGCAAAGAGGGAGGAAAAGAAGGGAAGGAAGCGGGCGCGATCCTCGCGGGGGGCGTGCCGACATGGGCGTCGCGGCGTGCGGGCGCTGCCGTCGGGGTTCCCGGAGGTGGTCCCTGCGGCGGCCACCCTCAGTGTCACGAGTACTCAGAGTCAGGCAGGCCCGAACAATTTACATTCATATACATTTACACCATGCGTGGCCATGCTCGCATTCATGGAAATATATACACTCGCACGCATCCACACTCAGATTCACTCGCGCTCAGACTCACCAGGGCTCAGTCTCTCGTATTTAGACCTCTTGGCATCGTTCGTGTTGCGTACCCCGCCACACAATTCGGCACACTCCTCATACGGCTCCTGGCCTCATAGGGAGCGACACCGAAGAAGATACTCACAATTGCGGTACTCACAACTGCATATGGTTGGGCCCTTCGCCAGGCTAACCCATGACGTGACCCCCAAGAGCCTCGACTCCTTCCCAGGGACCAGTTTTGTATCCTGAATCGGCTTTGACAGTACCCAGGCCCGTCGAAGGCCCCTGGAGGCCGAAAATAGCGAGAAACCTCTGTCGTGATTTTTTCACAGCGCGAGGAGTTCTGGGTCTCGAACAGACCGTCCAGTCCCTGGCCCCGCTCCCCTCGGGCCAGCACACGAACCGACAGTGCCACCAGGGCCTGCGCACGCTGAAGCGTCAGGACCCCGTGGACCCGCCTGGTCGCACTCGTCTGGCAGCTCTACAAACTGCACTGCCCTGGACAATGCTAGGCCACCTGGATGAGGTCGGAGTAGATGGGATCGGAGGATCACGCCGCATCGCCGATGCATCGGCGATGCGGCTCGATGAGGAGCCCGACTTTCTCCACGCCGACGTCGCCGATGCACCGCCGACGACGCCGATGCAGCGGCGATGCGGCGCGATCCTCCGACCCCGTCTACTCCAAACCCATCTAGGAGGCCTCAATGAATGGAACTCTGATCGTCGATTATGTTTGCTTGTGTCGCCTCTGGCCCTTCGCAGCTTCTGGCCTCCAGGGGCCGCCTCTGGGGCCCCCAGGGCCGTCAGAAGCAGACCAGGAGCCAAAAACTACTCCTGGAGAAGCCCCGATTCTTCGACACGACCTGCAATGAAGGGGCCCTGGGACACACAAAAAAATACACACAAACAAAAGTATTCCCCATATTTTCCCATATTTTCTGGGTTTATGTCTTCCCCCCACTTCCCATAGTTTCCCACATTTTCCTGGGAATCGACGATTAATTGTGTCTGTGTGTTTTTGTCCCCTCCTGACTGCAAGAGCTGCATCACTTTCCAAGGGGGGGGATCGGTCGCCCCGCTGCGCGCCCCGCGCCCCGCGGTGCGCGGAGCGCGACGATCTCTTCGCGCACTCGCACCCTCGCGCTGCCCCCTGGGAGAATGGCGGCCGCTCCATCCCAGGCCGCGACGCGCGAAGCGCGATCACATTCTGGCCATCGCTCGGACGTCCATTCCCTGTGCTTTTTTCAGTTTCGTGCGTGGTTTTTTCGCCAAATGATCAAGGATGCTCCTCGATGATCCTCGCCGAAGGAAACATGCACACGTCCGAGCGAAGCGCGATCACATTCGCGCCCCTGGGGGTGACCCAGGCAAGGCACACTGGGCCCAATAGACAGGCAAAGCACACCGGACCTGTCCACCAATGCAGCCAGGAGGCTGCGCAGGGAGAGTGCGCGCGGAGCTGGAGCGAGAGTGCAGCTGTGAAGACGAACGGCCCCCCAGGAAAGCAGCCGCGCGTGAGAGCCAGATGTTGAACAGGTACCGCCCCATCCACCCGTGCAAGTGCTGAAACTATGAAGCTCCAGGCTCATACTAGATGAGAGAGGTTTCGGACGGGAGCCATATCTAGAAAGCGGCCCGCCAACGCCCGCAGAACTGCTGGAAACTTGTGCGACGACTGCACGCGACGCAAGGCGAGCACCACGCGTTTTCCAACACAGCACGCAACACCGCTAGACACTGTAAGCCGTATGAGCACTGTCGGGCATGCCTCCCATGTCATTCTGCCTACGAAATTATTATGTTACCTGCTGTGGCTGCCAGCCTACAGCCACCGATGGGCACAGCAAAGCAAGCATGTGGAAGTGCCAAAACTGAGATGCAACATAATGCAACACGCAAGCTGAGCAGCACTGATACACTACTTTGGGTAGGAAACATCAGATACCTGCTTGCAGTGGAAACCAACCCCTGATGCAAGAACATGTGGTAGTAGGGGGATGGTGCAGGGAAAATTGCGGACCATGGTCCACAGGATGAAGCAGTGCATGACGTCCTGGGAACACACCAGACCCTTGCACACAGACACACACACACACACACACATCGCGCGGTGCGACGAAAGCATGGAGGCCCTTTGCGGAGTCGGCCGGCTTCAATATCCAAGCTCTCACTGCGAAACATGTGCCTGGATGAGCGCACGAAACTAATCACCAGCTAACGCAGCACCTATCAATCGGACAGTAATGCTACAAGCAGTGGGCATATCACATGTCATCTTCGGCCCATTCATCAATGTAGTAATGAATGCCACTGTTCAGTTGCGGGCGCTCTTCGAGAAGCCTCTTAAGGAAATCTACCAAAACGCGCATGTTAGCATCCTTGCTTGGGAAGGACTCACCGTACATGATCCAATCGTGCCACATGGCGTCGTGGAGCCAAACCTCTATGGGCAGTCTGCCCTGCAAGCGTTCTGCAAAGTCGAGCACTTCCCCCATCAGCACCTCAGCAGCCCCGACACACATCCAGAGAGGGAGCCCAGCCTCAAGCAAGGCCTGCAACAAGCGGTCGTCTGGAGAAGCACGAGCGACCCAGTACGGGCTGAATATCGGATTTCTCAGTTCAGCACCTGCGTATCGCACACCGAAATCTCTGAATTCCTGTCGGTTTTCCTTTGGACTTCCCCTGAACAGTGCATCTCCAGTGTGATGGAGCTCCGAGAAAGTATTGCTGATATAAGTCGGGCTGCCGCAAGTGATGTCCAGCCAGGGCGATATCAGCGCAACGCCCCTCAACACTGGCAGTGCGCTTGAATTCTGATGTAAAAGGTGCAGGAGTAATCCCAGGGCCTGGTTTCCGCCCGAAGAATCTCCTGCAAGAACGATCTTCAGCTTAGCAGTCCTATCTTTGCATGTGCCTGCCACGTGCTTAATGAAATGATGAAGGTCAGCTTCCAGTGATTCCATGATTGCAGGACCAGTGTATGACCGGCCTTCACCAGACAGAGGGTGATCTGGACATACCACGGTAACGTTGGCTGCCGCTGCGAGTCTTGAGCATAGGCTGTCGTACCCACCGCCGGTTGGGCTGTAATGCTCGAAGGCACCTCCGTGGATGAAGAATACGTAGGCATTCGGCTCTGGCTCATGTGGTCTATAAACAGCAAGTCCACCACGTTTGCATCCTTGTCCACTTTTGCCCTCCTGCCCATCATGCCAACTACTCCACGTGTCTGCGCCCTCTGGCTGAAGAACTTTCAGCGAAACTCCAAATGCCAAGCCTTTCTGAAGTTGTTTTTCATCTTCACCTTTCGCAAAGGAGTCAATGAGTTGAGCATGTGTAGGCTGACGGGCTTCCCGAGCCTTGCGAGTTCTTTCCCCTCCTTGGATGATATCGTCCAAAGCCCGCGTGCCACCCTGAAAGCGAAATCTGGTAATGCCCGAAAAACAACGATTCATCTTCATCCCTGAAAGAGCTGAGAAGCACACCATAGCCAAAACAGATAACGGAAGCAACCGGCCGCTCCTTGCCTTGAGCATGGCGCTTGGACCACAGCGGAGAACACACACACACACACACACACACATCGAACAAGTTCCCCCCCCCCCCCGTCCGTGATGAATGTGCGCGGCGCTTTGGGCACAGATTCTGGAAGCGGTCCATCCTCCATCCGCGTGCACGCGGGAAGCGTGTGCCACGAACGCACGCGGAACTGAGGCCGAAGCAGCGTTCCTGGAAGCCGCCCGCCCTCCCCGTCCGTGATGAATGTGCGCGGCGCTTTGGGCACAGATTCTGGAAGCGGCCCGCCCTCCATCCGCGTGCACGCTGGCAGCGTGTGCCACGAACGCACGCGCGGAGCTGAGGCCGAAGCAGCGCTCCTGGAGGCCGCCCGCCCTCCACCCGCGCGGCTGCCAGCACCGCTCCAAGACGACTGCGCGCGGCGCGACGGCGAGAGCTGCCTGCCCCTCGTCCCTCGACTCCTCCTCCTCCTCCTCCTCCTCCTCCTCCTCCTCCTCCTCCTACTACTCCTACTCTGGCCTCCTCCTCCTCCTCCTCTGGCCTCCTCCTCCTCCTCCTCCTCCTCCTCCTCCTCCTCTTTCCTCCTCCCTCCTCCTCCTCCATCCTCCTCCTCCTCCTCCCTCCTTCCTCCTCCTCCTCCTCCTCCTCCTCCTCCTCCTCCTCCTCCTCCTCCTCCTCCTCCTCCTCCTCCTCCTCCTCCTCCTCCTCGCCGCTCCTCCCGTGGAGAACGCCCGTGCTCTTCCCGGGGACCTTATAGGCACCCCGAGGGCCCCGAACGCGCAGCCTCAGGGAGCCTCGGCCGAGAGGCCCGGCCCGCCCTGCTGCGACAAAGGCGTTCTGGCGGTGCGCAAAGGGGGGCGGATGGAGGGGGGAAGGCCTCTTAGAAGGAGGCTGCTTCTTGGAAGGCGCCGGCCTTACGTCTACAAATAAGGCCCGCGCCTTCTAAGAAGCGGGGGTGCTTCTAAGAAGCCCTCCCCCCTCCCCCCACCCCCCTCTGCGCGTGGCTGAGCGCTGCCTCTCTCCAGGGCAGCGCTTCCACTCCCAAGCCCTCTTGAGCAATTGCGTGGGCTCCCTCGGCTGTCGCCCGGTGCACGCCGGGCGCCCGCCCGCGGGCACCCCGTGCACGCCGGCGCCTGCCGCGCAGCCTGGCTGCACAGATTGCACCGCGTAGCGTGCACCACGCTCGCACCACTGATTGCACCGCATACCTTGCGGCACACAGCGTACGCCACACGGCATGGACCACATAGGTTTACACCACGCAGCTGGCACGGCAGAGCCTACTCCACACGTGCTCCGCACCACAGAGTACACGCCACCTACATGTGACACGATGCATACTGCGCCACAAAGTTTACACCACCTAGCGTGCACCATATGGCTAACACCATAAAGAACCGTGCACCACATGCATGTCGGTTAAACGCAAGAGTGCAGGAGAGCCCATATTCAAATCGACAAGTCGGATCGGCGATCGAAATGAATCGAATCGGCGCAAATCGGCAGGCTAGCATGCCTCCAGTAAGGAATCGGAGCCCAAATCGGAATCCGAAGTCGAATCGAATCGGAATCGGAGGCCGTCGAAATCAAATCGAATCGAATCGGAGGAATCGAAACGAGCCCTGAGAGTGACCCTAGGCAAGGGTGACCTTTGGTGCGCGGCTTCAGGGGGGACGCGGGGGGGGAGCCCAACCCGAGCGCGCAAGCCGCTGCTACCGCATTGCGGTCAGTGCGCTCGGGTGGCTCCCGTGGGCCGGCACCTGAAGCCACTCTCCGGAGAAGGGCCACTCTTGCGTGCAGCCAAGCACTGCTCGACGTCGAAGGTGCAAGACCCGGACATCCGGCTGCTCCCATTTTTGTGGATGCCATGACGATGGACACTCTAACCGTTCTGCCATTGAAGTAAACGCGTCATGCACGTGTTTTCTGGAAGGCATGCTCGAAGCATGATTCATACATGCTTCAGCACCTCCGAAACATGCTTTAACCATGTCCTAGACGCCTGAAGAAATCATCTGGCAGTCTGCCTCCTCTCCCTCGATCGTCTTCCACGAGCCCACTCGCTCGGCGCGTGGCTCCCCGAGGCCGGCTTTCCGTCCTGGGTCGTTTTGTTCTCGGCCCCCGAGGCCCGGCCAGGAAAGTAGCTACATGTCAGCCTCGCGTTGTTGTTGCAGCACGGGTTGGTCAAAGTGCGGGACGTGGTTCCCCGGCACACCTCAGAGCTAGTGAGTGCGGTTCCGTGGCGATAGAAATATCATGTGCGCGCTGCTGCAACACGTCATCGTTGTTTGTCGAATGTGTTCTTCAATGCGATACTCCAAGAGCCCGCTCGATGCGTGGCTCCCCGAGGCCGGCTTGCCGTCCTGGGTCGTTTGGTTCACGGCCCCCGAGGCCTGGCCAGCGCCGACCAGCAATAACTGGGGGAGCTGTGGTCCTTAATTACCCCCTCTGGGGGAACCCAACGCGTCGACGATCTCTCAAGAGCGGTGTCGAAATCGATGGGCCCCCCAGGGGGGCAAGGACCACAGCTCCCCCAATTGTGGCTGGTCCGGCAAGGGAGCCCCCAGAGGCCGGCGACGGGCAGAAGCCGCCCGCCCCTGCCGCTGCTGTTGGAGCGCCGGGCCGCCGGGGAGAGCCGGCCGCTCGGGGGGGCCCGGAGTGCGGACCGGGAAAGAGCACTGGGGCCCATGCAGGAGGAGGAGGAGGAGGAGGAGAAGGAGGAGGAGGAGGAGGAGGAGGCGGAGGCGGAGGAGGAGGAGGAGGAGGAGGAGGAGGAGGAGGGGAGGAGGAGAATGAGGAGGAGGAGGAGGAGGAGGAGGAGGAGGCGGAGGAGGAGGAGGAGGAAAAGGAGGAGGAGGAGGAGGAGGAGGAGGAGGAGAAGAGGAGGAGGAGGAGAAGGAGGAGGAGGAGTGAGTGAGTGAGAACAGTCGCGAAGCGAAGATTCGAGAACACACGCCCCCCCCCTGAACTGCTCGGAGAACACGACGAACAGGTAGGAGACGCACTCAATTTCGCACAGCTGGCTGACAGAGAAGCCTGTGGAACACCGAGTGATACCGCGGATGGGTACCTCCAAAACATGACAGTCTGTTCACCCCTTCAACACAACCAGACGAATACAGAAGAAGTTGAAAGAACGCCAAAAGCCTCCTTGATACAAACAAGCTGAACCGAAGCAAACTCGATACGGCCCACTACAGCGAACTGGTCATCGGGCAACCCCGAAGGATCGTTCACACCGAAAGCTGCCTCATTGCAGTCTAGGAAAGCCCCCAGCACTTGCAATACTTTGCACACGATGCGGAACAAGGAGTGTGACTATGAGAAAGGAAAACTACTACTTCCACAAGCCCGTGCCAAAATCCCACCAACAGTGCATAGTACGCCCTGGAGAGAGCCGGAGAAAGGCCAATTAAAGGCACCTCCCCTCCCCAGGGACGGACGCCGACAAAGAAGTTCAGGAAGTACCCAGAACTTGAAACAAAAGCGATACCAAATGCACATTGCACTGCCCACCAGTGGTACGCCCAGGCGACGGGTGGGTAGATCATTGCCACAAAAGGCGCCGAGGTGTCGCCCCAACCCGCCGCCTGGGACGGATGCTGATGAAGAAGTGAAGGAAAACATCCCAGGAATGAAGTGGATGTGAAACTTTCTTGCGTCGGTGGCCCCAAATTCTGTAAACAGCAAGGGCGCACATGAAGGACATCACGGCAATAAGAGGCCATATCGAAAACTAGCCGACTCATGTTTTGCCCATCTTCGCCACAAGGTAAAGAAGCTCGGACTGTGCACCACGACCGAACTTCCGCTCTGGGCCCCCCAAGCGCCGCGAGAAGGCGAAGGGCACGACCGAGAACATCGCCAAGAAGCCAGAATCAGCTACGGAGACGCCTCGAACCGATGCTGAGAAAGGAGGAGGAAGAGGAGGAAAAGGAGGAGGAGGAGGAGGAGGAGGAGGAGGGGGGAGGAGGAGGAGGAGGAGGAGGAGGAGGAGGAGGAGGAGGAGGAGAGGAGGAGGAGGAAGGGGGGAGGAGGAGGAAGAGGAGGAGGAGGAGGAGGAGGAGGAGGAGGAGGAGGACGGGGGACGGGGCCAGGACTCGGGAGGGCGGCGCGCCTCCCCGAAGAGGCCGGGCCCGAGAAGAGGAGGAGCACGCGCAAGGTCAGGAGAGAGAGGGGCGGCCGCGCTCCACGGGGCGCCGACGCTCCCCCCAAGAGGCAGGCCCCAGGGCGCGAGGGGAGCCGCAAAGGGGCCGCAGGCGGGGCGCGGAGATCGGAGCGGATCCGCCTCGGCAGCGGCCGCGCCCGCCGTGGTGCGCCGCCAGGCCCAGGCCGGAAGGACGGTGACAGGCCTGCCCTGACCGCTTTCGTTTATTATCCTGCACAGGGCGTCTAAGAGCTCCCACCACTTCATTCCGCGTCGCGACGCACACCACCTCCCCGACCATATCCCCCCCGCGTCCCCAGCGCCCCAGTCGGCCCCCGCCCAGTGCCCTGTCCGCCCCGACAACTTTATTCCGCGTCGCGACGCACACCACCTCCCCCACCCCTCCCCCCGCGTCCCCAGCGCCACAGTCGGACCCCCGCCCCGTGGCCCTCTGCCCCGAGCCCCCCCGCGTCCCCAGCGCCCCAGTGGGAGCCCCGCCCACTGCCCCTCCGCCACGAACGATCATCCGCGCGCGACGCACACCAACTCCACCACCTTTTCCCCCCCGCGTCCCCAGCGCCCCAGTGGGAGTTCCGCCCGTGCCCCCTCCGCCCCCACAATTTATTCCCCGTCGCGACGCACACCACCACCCCTTTCCCCCGAACGTCCCCAGCGCCCCAGTGGGACCCCACCCCCCCACCCCCGCGTCCCCAGCGCCAGAGTGGGACCCCCGCCCCGTGACTCTCTGCCCCGAGCCCCCCCGCGTCCCCAGCGCCCCAGAGGGAGCCCCGCCCACTGCCCCCT